TGCTGCCACTGCGCTGCTGCAGCAGCAGCAGCAGCAGCAGCAGCAGCGGGGCCACACAGCTGCCTTCGTCACTACAGTGACCTACACACAAAGTCTGTCCCCTCGTTTCAGCAGCAGCAGCAGCAGCAGCTTAAGTGGTAGCTGCGGCAAAACAGCAAGCGTTAGAAGCAGCAGCAGCAGCAGCTCAAACGGCAGCAGCAGCAGCAAGATCTGGGCTTACAATGGCTGCGGCTTTATAGGAGATGAAGACCAAGGGGACTCCGAGGTCAGCAGCAGCAGCAGTAGCAGCACCAGCAGCAGAAAGCGCAGCAGCAACGGCAGCAGCAAGAGCAGCAGCAGCAGGAGCAGCAGCAGCAAGAGCATCAGCAAAGAAGATGTTGTTGCAGCAACGCGGAAGGAGATAAAGCAGCAGCTGGAGTCAGGGGCGGTTAAGCCCGACGTGCTGCTGCAGGAGCTGCAGCAGCTGCAGCAGCAGCAGCAGCAACAGCAGCAGCAGCCGCAGACGCTGGAGCAGCTACTTGACTGGCTGGCTGCAGCAAGACACGGGCAGCTGCCAGCAGCAAATAGCGGCAGCAACAAGCAGCAGCAAGAAACCCCTACGGCTTCGGAAGCAAAAGCCGGAGACAGGTAATGCAGCAGCAGCAGCAGCACCAAGAGTGGCAGCAGTAGCAGCAGCAAGCTTAGCAGCAGTCGCAGCGAGACCTGCAGCAGCAGCAGGAGCCACGGGACTAGCAGTAGTGCAGCAGCAAAATTAGCAGCAGCAACAGCAGCAGCAAGGCTAGCAGCAGAGGCAGCGACACATGCAGCAGCAGGAAGAACAACAGCAGCAGCAGCTGCTGCTGCTGCTGCGGGTGCGTTTGCTGCAGGGAGTCTGCTGCTGATCCTTTTTCTTTTGCTTCGATTTTTAAAGCAGCAAAAGAACTGAGAGACAATTTGGAGACAGAAGATGAGGAAAAGAAGGCAAGCAGCAGCAGCAGCAGCAGCAGAAGCAGCAGCAGCAGCATTTGCACCTCCTTTCATTTTTTTAAATGCTTCTGCAGCAGCAGCAGCTGCTGCTGCTACTGCTGGCCTTCTCACGTTCCTGCACGTGCCCCCTCTGCAACTGCTGCTGCTGTTAATGCTGCTGCTGTTGTTGCTGCTGCTGCTGCTGTTCCTGCTGCTGATTTCTTTGCCCGCCCGCTCCTGGTCTGCGGACTCCCCACGCACCGCTGCCTCTGCTGCTGCTGCTGCTGCTGCTGCTGCTGCTGCAGGCCTTCTTTTTGCGGCACTATGAAAGGGAACTGGAGGCCCTGGGGCTGCCTCGGGGGGCCCCCGGATTTCCAAAGTCTGCTGCAGCACTAGCAGATCGTTTGGCTTTGGCGCGAGCATTTGCTGCTG